GAAAATGTTTGGTCTAAGGATGTTTTTGTTTGATCAGTACACATTAAATTGTTTTAGTATATAGCAAAATGTTTTATATAAAGAGCATTTTTACCCAAGGGAAGTTGCTCATCAACATATATGATTATAAAGTTTAAATATGCTTAAATCTATTGGATGTGCAAACATTTTCTTGTGCATATGCACTTGAAGCTGACTAGATACTTTCCACATGTAGCTCACATTTGTGTGTGTAGTTGATTATAATAAACTAAACTATGAAAATAGATGTAGAGAAGTTAATTTTTTTAATTGAAGAAAAACTTTTATGTGATTCTTCCTGACAGCTGCATCCATTGCTATATAAGAATTGCACACACTTTTTCATTGTTGGAAGAAATCATGGTATTGAAGTACTATGTTGAAAATGCAAAAGTTAATCACTGCAAATGCATGAAAAAGAGTGTAGCAAGATGTGCTGGTATAAAAACATTTTTGCTGCATGAATATGTATCCATCCTTGGCATCATCATCATCATCATCATATATTTTATTTGGCACAAAATATTGCTACGTGGTTCTGCATTGGCAGACAAAATGTGTCATACTGGCCTAACAATAGAACCATGGGTGAATGGGACTTGTTCAAGCAGTTTAAGAAATATATGGACTAGTGCTGGTTCCTATGAATATAAAGAGTCAAAATTTCCAGAGATGCCCTATTGGCATCTCTGGAAATTTTGTGATAGTTCTATTCAGCAGTGAATGGGACTACTAACGTATTTTTATCTTGATTATGTGGACACTGCTTCCAGTAAATAGTAGATAAAAATTTACAAACTATCTATTCTCTAAAACTTCTATTAAGCAAATACTGTAATAGCTAAAATCTTAAAATTATTTCTATAGCTGGAAATATTCTAAAAGTGAACTCACACTAACCCTGCATACTTTTCCAGCATTAAAACCATTGTAATATGTAAACTGCAAATATTTTTGGCTATTTGTAGGAGCCAGAATCAGGCTTCTATTCAAGATTTTTCATTAGAAGCCTAACTTTTCTGGTTTTCAGAACATTTTTCAAATCCTTAGAATTATATATGCTTATGTTCCTTACATAATTTAAATTGTAACATTCGTCATTCAATTTCCAAATCCATTCTTTTAACCTGACAATGGTTGCTCAAGGCAATTGAAAAAACATTCATTTTCCTTCCATGTTTTTTTCCTGCGAGAATTTATACTTTTCATTCATTCTGTGTTTAATACTTATATACACTTACAACTACTGAGAGAATATATTCAATTGTATAAAATTAGAAGCAAATAGTTCTAGGAAACTAATTTATATGCATCAGTTGGTTTCCTAGAGATGCAGGCAGACACCTGTTAAGATGTCTCAAGGAGATCTGAGATTGTATTTGGACAGATTGAAAAACAAGAAGGTTTCCATAGACAGTCTGTCTTGGATATGTCTAATCCTATCCCTCACCACATAGTAATTATCATTATAGTAATTAAATTTTACTGTATTGCATATTTACAATTACTATACTATCATGATACAAATCCTTAGGATTTGAAAAACTTTCCATAACCAGAAAAGTTTGGCCTGCAATTAATATTACACTCTCAATTATATTTAAGTTTATTTATTAAAAATCTTTTTAACAAAGTGGGAATCTTCTATTTAAAAAACTAACCATTTGTGTCAAAACCATCTGGTTAAAGAAAATGCAATTTGCCTGCAATGCAAAATCTTCAATAGACGTCTGATGCTGGCCCCTAAACTGAAAACATTTGTACTTTGTACATTACAAAAATTTTAGTGCTGGAAGAGTATGTGAGGTTTGTGTCAGTTCCTCTTTTCTTTTAACAACACAATAAATTATGTTTCTCATGAATAACATTTTAAAAACATCAGGTTTATCTTTGATGCATCATTTCACAGGCTTTCTTTGTGTCCTTAAACATGTCAAACAAGGTTGTTTTAGTTCCAATTTTTAGACAGTACTGACACTATGTGTAAATATTAGTAGACTAATACCAGTATTTCATCTTGCATAATGGATAAAAAGAATTAAGAAATTCTAAAAAATTTTGAAAGCAAAAATAATAATAGAAACAAGTGAATCAGATCAATAATATATTGGAAAATTTTATCAGATATCCTGCCTAAAAGATCTGGAAAGCATAATTGGTAACATCAACTGACTGGTTGGAATGAGTTTGTCTGGAGTCCCACTCTCAAACAGAGCTTTTTTTTCTAAGTTTTTCTAAATTAATTCAGACACGTGCTATTACAATTAATGAAAAATTAGGTGTTCTTTTGTATACAAGAATTACTAACTCCCTTAAAAATGAATACAAAAAAATTAGGACAATAAAATAAATGACTATGCAAATCTGTATAGTTTAATTTAAGCATTGCATTGCTCTATGACAATGATTCTCAACCTTTCTGAGACCGTGGAACACCATTCATATATTTTTTATTACACAGAGTATTAGTATCAATACATTCAAAAATTGATAAGCAATTCCATGTTTACTATTCTCAGGAAACAATGAAGTAATAAACTAATAATCTTTAATATATTGAATAAAATAAAAACATGGAATTGTCTACAAATATAGCAATGGGAATAAATTTGAATAAAAACTTCAAATCTTTTCTTTCGTGGAACACTTGAGATAGGTTTGCAGAACACTGGTTAAGAACCACTGCTCTATGAATATAAACTCAAACTTTGATATAGCATCTTCCAAAGAACCAACGAATGTTTATGAACGAATTTTCTCCATATATAATTAATAGAGAACATTTCAATACCTGTAAATTGCTAAATTTATGAATTTGCATCAATTGGCGATAGCAAATGACACTGCTATCACCAAATCACATGATCTTCAAAGTCTAACCTGCTTGTACATCTCATTGATACATATACTTATTGTTATTTCACAATTTAATGTTTCTTAGATTTACTTCTATCTACTAGATTTAATTTCAGAGATAAACAAATATTGGCACTATATCAAAGTTTGTGTATAGATGTTAATAGGTTAAGATAATTTTATATTAATAATTATTAACAAAAGTTAAAATCAATAATTACTATCATTATAAAAGTCCTTAAATATATTGTATAGTAGACCTCCTGCTTTCATGACTAATTGATTCCTGGAAAATTGCTATTGAGCAAGCTATCAAAAATTAAAGTTATATGCTTGAAATTCAGTTTAAACTATATAAAAGCATACTAAGATTAAAAACAATCATTTCATAAATCATAAAATATCATGGTATAAAAATTAATACTAACTGCAAAAGAAGTCATAAAGTATGGGTCAATTGTAACTAGATATAACTAATGAAATTTTTAATGTTTAAAATGACTATTTTATATAATCAATGCAGTTTTTGATTATTAATAAGTAAATAAAATTTACTTATTAATCAAATAATCAAAAACTGTAAAAAGTAAGATATTTTTTTAAAAATTCTTATGAGTAAGCATAAAATTACTTGAGAGAATGAATCATACAGTAACACAACTAAGATGGAAACAGGCTTTTGTTAGTTTTTGAATATATGCATTTTGGACATGTCCCTCATTAGTCCTCTTTTAAATTTTAAAGCTATCTTGTTGATATAAATTACATATATGTTATAGATAATTGTGACAACTGAATATAATAAAATACCTGTATTTTATAAAAGTGGATTATGGTAAAATTCCATTAAAACAATAAAAATAAATAATTGATACAAAGTTTTATATTCTGTAAATTATAAATGGAGTATAATAAAATGCAATTAAAACTGTAAAATTAAAGACTGTTGGTAAAAAAAAAGGAATAAAACTCATTTAAAGTGTTAAAAAGTGGTATAACAATCACTATATGACAAACATCTAAACATTAGATGAATGTAACAGTATAATATAGAAAAAACTGAAGGGTTGCTGGAAAATTTAAAAGAATGATGAGGGACATGTCAGAAATGAACATCCTCAGAACCAAACAAAAGTTTGTTTCCATCTTAGTTGTGTTCTTATATGATGTGTTCTCTCAAGCAATTTTATGCTTACTCATAAGAATTACAAGAGCAAAAGGAAATCCAGTACGAAAGTTTACAAAAAGTCCAGTACAACTTTATTTATTTAAAATATTTATATAATACAGTAATAAAACTGAAAAAAAATGTATGCAACATTGGCCCATCTTAATTACACAAACTCATACTGTATTTTTGTGGAATGATTGGCATGCTGCATGAAAATGAGGATACCAGTATGCCTGTTAAACTGTAACTACAATATAAAATTAATCAGATATAACAGAACTAGTTATTAACTAAACGTTAAAAAAAGAATTCTTCCGAGTACAATAAAATAACAACACTGTAATTTGACTGACTTACAATAAAAAAGAGAGTTTTGGTTTACAAGTCAATAAAATAATTAACAAAGTATTGACGTTAGTAATAGTAGTAGTTAGTCAATGTGGGCTACACTGACCATCTATCCTGACCTTAAAAATTACACCTTCCTCTCAAAATTTCATACAAAGTTGATGTTAATCATGTTAGTCCATATAAGCTAAGATAATTTATGGCAAGTGTCTTAAATTTAATATGTTTATTTTTGTAATTTTGAATTAAATAACAATAAAAATACACATAAAAAAAGGACTTTTGGAATTCCATGAGTATGTTATGTCGTTAGAATGAAGACAAAACAAATAAATTAAACATATAATCATAGTTTTTGATGTAATTCTGACCGTTTCAGTTTTAGATATAAACTTGTTTTTTTTTTTAATATGCCTTCTAGAAAGGGATGTATAACCTCACTTAAACTGGCATGCTAGCATTTCTCCGGGATAAACCAGCATGTCTGTTTTTAACATATGAAAATATCTATTTTATGGTTTCCCTGGATATATTAGCATGCTGGTCATTCCACAAAAATATGGTAATAAAAACTGATGATAAAGTGTAACAAAAATAAACTTACAAAAGAGGTAAGCAAATAAATTCCCAAGATGATAATAAAGAAATTAATACTGTTCTAACTGGACTAATTGTTAAACCAAATCCTAATATTGGTGCAGGAGCAGTAGTTGATAATGGTTGGGAACATATTACATGCTCAACAATACTTTCTTGATGTTCTAGTTGAGGAAGAAAATTTTCAGCATCATCTATAACAAACATTAAAGATTTATCTGCTTTAACACATATTATATATATATATATACATACATATATTTAAATAAATGCAATAATGATTTCTAACTCTAATGTAGTAACTACAGCTATTACAAACTACAGTTAAAAATTAAAATTATATGACTTTTTAAAATTTAAATATAAACAACATTATAATCTTTTAACATTTATACAATTGTAAAATTAACAATTGTTTATATCTAAATGCTTAAAACAATAAGTTAATTTACTGAATGGACCAACATCTGTGCAGTAAATAATTTAATACAATTGATCTAATGTAATGTAATTTATCCCTTCTAACTTAATATTTTTACCATTTTTGAAAGCTCACTGTAATGCTGTCTAAGTTTTCCACTTGTTATCTCTAAATGGCTATATATGTGGCACAAATTAAACTTTGACTACTATTGACATATTATATACTAGTACAGGTAACCCCCGTATAACACGGTACTTCTATAGCACGGATTCACTCTAACACGGTTCGAGAATTGGTACCATCCCCCATATAACACGGTACTTTTATAGCACGGATTCACTCTGACACGGTTCAAGAAATGGGTAAAACCCTCGTACAACATGAAATGTAATAAATTTTTACATACTTAAGTACTAATAGTTCACGAAAATTATTATTTTCGTGAACTATTAGTACTTAAGTATGTAAATTTTCTCTTCTCGCCTTCTGTCGATACACGTGGTCCTTCTCGAAACTTGTTTCAATGTTGCCAGATCGCGACGCTTCTGCTTCTGATGTTGCCGAATGTTTTTCCCTTATTCCATACTTGCTTTATTCTTCATAAGTGCTTAGCACCATATAAGGAAATTTATAAAGACCTTTTAACTAGAAGCAAGCAATCTAAAATTACATACATTTTGCAAAAGGTAAAGCATGGATCTGAAGATAATGCAGAAAAATGCTCAGAGGATAAGGATAACTTGCCAAAAAGAAAACGCTCTCGGTTAATTAATAGTGTTTTTAGTGATGACGAAGAAAACATTGTTTAATTTATATTAATATGTATCACTTAAGAAAATTTTAATAAAGATATTTATCTTAATTATGAAAATATAGTAGCATGCTTTTTAATTTTTGGAACCTAACCCTCCTTTTCATACTAGTTCTTTGTTTCGCATAACACGGATTCGCATAACACGGCAATTTTTTGGAACGTAACTACCGTTATGGGGGTTATACAGGGTTACCTGTATATAGATGTTCATTTTAACATATATTCAGATACAAAGAGATCTTTTCAGTATTGCATGAATATATGCATATGTATAATATCATATGCATATACTCATGCATACTGAAAAGATCCAATGCATGTTTACAGTATAATAAATTCATTTATTCAAAAAAGAAAAGGGATAGATAGTTTTCAACGTTGTTCAAAACAACATATTAAGGCCATCTCAATTCACTGGCGGAAAGATTCTATGACAAGGGAATGGAAAAGCTCATCCACAGATATGACAAATTCCTCAGCCTTCATGGTGATTATGTCGAAAAGTAACCATGTTTGTACCTAACTTTTGGTAATAAATTCATTTTGTTATTTACACTTGTCTTTGTTTTACGGATCATTGGAGCTTGAAAAAAAACAGCCCACATACTTTATGGAGAAACAAGACAAAATACATAAGAAGCAGCATATAAATTCAATGAGTGCTTTCCAGCTGCAACAACAGCATATACAATGATTCTAAACTTATGGTACTTGATGCAAACAGATAGCATAGTCAAAGGTCATGATTCTGATCTGTCTTTGTGATGTCAAACTTTTGGTATACTTCCATGCATATCCAGATATAAGCAAGCATATGTAAAGCAGCAAGATAATATGAATTGCAGTAGTCACAAATACATCAAATTTTGTTACCATGACATGCATGCATTCAACAGCTATCTACAACTAGCAAAACATGCAGCAGATGTAGCATAGCAATTTGAATGGTGCAACATAATGTTAAATATACATCATGACAAACAATAATTACTCCAGCACATTTTGTAAACTAATGAGGTATTTTTTCAGGAATAGTTTGTTTAACTGCCACAATATGCAAAATAATGAGCAAATATGCTCTATAATGTATACAAAATGTGTGACACCAGATATATTTTACACTAAACATCTGATATAGCAGGGATGGCCAACACGTAGACCGTGGTCGACCGATTGACCACAAAGTTTTTGAAAGTAGCCCGCAAAGCTAAAGTTGAACAATTTGCTTTCACTTAAATTAATGTTTAAAAATCTTAATTTGATAATTTATTCTTACAATAATAGACTGTCTGTGCAACGTACCCATACTGTTTGTATTTATCCCGATGAACAATGCCCTTGAATGTTAACGCATGCGCATAAAAAATCCTAAAATTGTTTGCCCATATTCATAGTTGCCCACAGACTATATTTTACCAAAAAAGTAGCCCCTAAAGGATAAAAGTCTGGCCACACCTGTGATATGGCATCTGGAGTGAGCAGGTTCTTAGTCTTACATTCATTGCCAGCATAATCTTTAATGACCACTATCTTAAATTAATTAATATCCTACACATGATGGACAAATCGTTTGTTTAAGCATTAAAACAACTATGGCAATTTGGTACCAGCACAACGATGCACCAGCTCATTTCTGGACAAATGTGAATCAGTTACTCACAAAGCAATTTGATGATCAATGGATAGGACAATGCAGTCCTGTACCATGTCCATACCATGTTCTCTAAACTTAACCCTGCTGAATTTTTTCCTATCAGGTCATTCAAAAATATAAGTTCACAATGTGTACTGAGCAGCACCACATGATGTTGGAGATATAGAAGTGAATATGGAAAGTTTTTAAGATGGTAACACTACGTTACCTATAATGCCACTATCAACCATTTTCATCTTTGTATTGTTGCTACAGTGTCATTTTGAGCATTTACAACAAAATAAATGAACTGATTTCGTATTAATATATGCAATGTTGGTTTTATCCTTTACAGCCAGAGACTTTTTGTATATTATGCTAAATATTTTTAAAATTACGAGGACTATTTTTTAAATAAGGTCCGTTTATGAATGAGAGTGAGAATGACATGCGATTTCGGTAGTGCGTATGTACATCTGCACCGAGCATGCTTTGCATGCGTTTTGACACCATCTGCAGCCGTATCGTCTGTCTGTGTGCTGAGCTGTAAAAGTTTATAATGTTTAAGAAAATTGAGTCACTTGCTGACTGTGAGATATAATCTGTTATTCGATTCTTGAGTGCAAGAAACTTGGCAGCAGTGGAAATTCACCTCAGATTTGTAATGTTTATGTTGATAATGATATGACACAGTAAAGATCGAAAGTGGGTGAGAATGTTCAAGAACCGGCAGGTTAATGTGCATGATGAGCCATGCCCTGGCCGACCTCTGACTTCTGAAGATTTGGTTTGTGATGTGAATAACAAAATTCGAGAGGACTGATGATTCACATTTTCAATGTTATCAATTGAATTTCCACAGGCTTCAACATCAGTTTTGTATACCATTGTTTCAGAGAAACTGAATTATCAAAAACTGTGTTCGGTGGGTTCCAAGACTGCTTTCTGATGATCACAAAACAAAAATATTGGACAGTGCTTTATCGTTTTTGACTCAATACGATCAGGAAGGAGATGAATTGTTGGACTACATCATTACAGGAAATAAGACTTGGTTGTCTCACATGACTCCTGAGTCCAAACCGACAGTCAATGGAATGGCGACACACATCTTTGCCAACTAACGGCAAGCAGTCCATTTCAGCACGAAAAATCGTAGCAAATGTCTTTTGGAACAGGAAAAAAATTTTGTTAGTGGATTTTATGCTGAGAGGCACAACAATCAATTCTGATGCATATTGTGTGACCTTAAGAAAATTGCGGCATGCCATACAAAACAAGCGCCGTGGTCTACTGTCTTCCGGTGTGATGTTGCTCCATGACAATACAAGGTCACATGTTTCTAAATGTTTCACAAGGTCTAATCAGTTCTTTTGGATGGGAACAACTGGATCATCCATTTTACAGTCCAGACCTTCCACCCAGTGATTTTCACTTGTTTCGATACTTAAAGGAGTTTTTTGGTGATTAATGGTTCAACAACAAAGAAGAAGTGAAAACTACAGTCATGGATCAGGCTTTTTCACAGGCAGCAGATTTCTTTGAAGTCGGAATTCAAAAAATTGTTGATCGGTATGACAAATGTTTGAACAAAAATGGAAATTATATAGGAAAGTAGATAAAAGTATGTAGAATATTAAAAAAATATATTTTAATAATATTTACAGTACAGTTGTCCCTCTATAGTCCGACGTTTTTTAATCTGACATGCTCAGTAGTCCGATGCACCTCCCGTCAAGGTACCCGTCCCCGTTACGTGTCTGCTTGCACAGAAGCATGTCGCGATGTGAATCTCCCCATCCAATTNAAAAAAGAAAAATTAATGCTCACACAGTTTAAGTACAGTCGACCCCCGTATAAGATCATTGATTATTCCGTTTTATATGAATTCCATGTTGTACGAGTCACTTAGATTTTACAAATACGTGTACCGGGCTGTGAACGGCTCACGTATTTGTAAAATTTAAGTGACTCGTACAACATGGAATTCATATAAAACGGAATAATCAATGATCTTATAGGGGGGTCGACTGTATTTATCATCAAAAAGACATCAACACTAATAAATTTCAAGGAGTATACTATCAAACTGAACATAAAACACAGTACTACTACTAGTAGTAGTTATATATTTTATGTTTGATTTGTCAGTGTTGTTATTAAGAAAATTTTGGTGTTGGATCTGATGATGAGACATAAATAGCCTTTTGAAACCATTTACCAATCAAATAATAAAATAATTTCTTAAAATTTATTAACATTGATGTCTTTTTTGATGATAAAAATGGAGTCACCTGTCAAAGAATTAATACCAATATACAATCAAACTTCCATGTTACGAACTTCTATATAGCAAATTTCTCCATATAACAAATTTTTGCATACATATATTTTTGATTAAAATAGCAGTTATTTCAATTCAAAAATATATGTAAAATTGCTTCTAAATAACAAATTTAAATTTGAATATCGTCATTAGTCTCAAACCTTTGCCCTCATAGCCACTTTTCCTGTTAAGGAAAGAGGTGGAAGTCACTTGGTGCTAAATCAGGGCTATATGCTAAGCGTTTAAAGGTGGTGAAGATTTCCACCCAGCTTAAAACTTTTTAATGTATGAAAACCGCCACCTCTTTCCTGAACTGAAAACATGGCTAGCAGGGCAGAGGTTTGACTAATGACAATCTTCAAAACAACGTTGTTAAGGCCATCTCAATTCACTGGTGGAAACATTTTATGACAAGGGGATGGAAAAGCTTGTCCATGAGCAGGTTCTTAGTCTTACATTCATTGCCAGCATAATCTTTAATGACCACTATCTTAAATTAATTAATATCCTACACATGATGGACAAATCGTTTGTTTAAGCATTAAAACAACTATGGCAATTTGGTACCAGCACAACGATGCACCAGCTCATTTCTGGACAAATGTGAATCAGTTACTCACAAAGCAATTTGATGATCAATGGATAGGACAATGCAGTCCTGTACCATGTCCATACCATGTTCTCTAAACTTAACCCTGCTGAATTTTTTCCTATCAGGTCATTCAAAAATATAAGTTCACAATGTGTACTGAGCAGCACCACATGATGTTGGAGATATAGAAGTGAATATGGAAAGTTTTTAAGATGGTAACACTACGTTACCTATAATGCCACTATCAACCATTTTCATCTTTGTATTGTTGCTACAGTGTCATTTTGAGCATTTACAACAAAATAAATGAACTGATTTCGTATTAATATATGCAATGTTGGTTTTATCCTTTACAGCCAGAGACTTTTTGTATATTATGCTAAATATTTTTAAAATTACGAGGACTATTTTTTAAATAAGGTCCGTTTATGAATGAGAGTGAGAATGACATGCGATTTCGGTAGTGCGTATGTACATCTGCACCGAGCATGCTTTGCATGCGTTTTGACACCATCTGCAGCCGTATCGTCTGTCTGTGTGCTGAGCTGTAAAAGTTTATAATGTTTAAGAAAATTGAGTCACTTGCTGACTGTGAGATATAATCTGTTATTCGATTCTTGAGTGCAAGAAACTTGGCAGCAGTGGAAATTCACCTCAGATTTGTAATGTTTATGTTGATAATGATATGACACAGTAAAGATCGAAAGTGGGTGAGAATGTTCAAGAACCGGCAGGTTAATGTGCATGATGAGCCATGCCCTGGCCGACCTCTGACTTCTGAAGATTTGGTTTATGATGTGAATAACAAAATTCGAGAGGACTGATGATTCACATTTTCAATGNGCCCTTTTTTTTTACATGAGAACGGATTAATCATTTTTACATTACTTCTTATGGGAAACGTTGGTTTGGTATACGTCCTATTTGGTATAAGTCCAAACATCAGGAACAGAGTAAGGTCGTATACCGAGGTTCCACTGTATGTTTTTAACTGAATAATTAGACACTTTTAAGATTTTGGAATATTTAATATAAATTCAAATTGAAACCATATAATGTATAACATAAAATGATAAAAAATAATATAAATCTTTAAAAGAATTATAAAGTGAAAGAAGTTGTTAGTATAATTATTTTTTTCATTACGTTAAAAATATATAACACCTAACTGTTCTATATTTTTTCAAGAAGTATAAATAGCAGTATTTCAACAAAAGCTGAACAGTGAATTTAATAAAATATGCTTTTATGTACAGTGAAATTGTTTATATGTGTCATGTTTATACATTGTTTTATGATGTTCTTAAAACATTTCATTCCTTTCAATTGTAAAATATTTTCATTTATATGTCTAAATTCATTATGAAATTTCATTTATATGTTGTACCCTTTTTAATACAGCTAATAGCTATTGCAATATTCTGTTAGAAAACACATTCAGAATTTCTTGAACACATTATCTGCTACATTCTTATATTGCTTACTTTAAATATCTGGAATTACATAGCATAAAACTGATCCAACCAAGTTTATTCTCTCTACACTTGGTAGTTTATTAGTTAACAAGTATAAAAAGTGATCAGACTACAAAGTCTCGTGTTTGTAGTTTCCTGTAAGAGCAAAAAACTCCACAAACAATGTTCATTTACCAATATAAATTTATTTCAGGAATTATTCCAATCCAAATTACTAATATACAATTTTTAATGTTCTGAATGAATTTTCTATAATTAGAAAAAATGTTCGTAGATGGCAGATACTTCAGTCTTGAATAGGCAAAAACAATTTGTAATTTATTGCAGTATATGAGTTGTGTACTTGATCAGTGATCACTGAAACTTCAAAAGAAGGTATACAATAAAAAGAATTACTGTTTTATAATATAAAATAAAGTGTAGACATTAAACTATTTATTAAAAGTTTATAACATTATGGGTTTGTCATAAAAACTCATCGTTACAAACTTTTAATGAATTGTACTACTAGTAATGCTATCTTTGCATAAATTTTGATTATGTCTTTTGATTTATATCTTTTTGGTCCAGTTCCATTAGAAACATGTAAATGGTTCTTCACTGTATGTTAATGGTTAATTTTTTCAACCAACAACTATAAAATAAATTCATTGTTCATAATACTGAATGCTATTCAAAAATATTTCAAAAGCATTTACATTTTTATTATTTTATAGAAATTTGATATTTAATTAATAAAAATTAAAACTTACCAACTTCAGCAAACTGCTCCAATTTTTGAATTAAAGGTAGAGCAATTCCATGAATTCCAGCAATATGAGTACAATAATATCTTACATTTGAACTGAAATCTGAAAAGGAAATCTTCTTAAATATTTTTATCTAAATTTAATGATTCTTCTTAAAATTATTTACATAAAATAAACATAAACAGTTAAAATAACCTAGTTCTATTATTGCGTCACAAAAAATTTCCTATTTAAATTTATTACCGTAAATCATTGAATTATAAGCAGTTTAATTAAATAATATAATGATTAGAATTGCTAGAAACGTCAGCAAGTTTTACATATCATTTACAGTAGAATAGTAATTGTAATATCAATAAAACTGATTTCTAATAGCTATAATATGCATATCACTATAAATCAGTCATATAACTTGGAATGTATTCAAAAATGCATAGGCAGGAATAAAAAAAGATATATGAGACATCATTGGATAACTGGATGCCAAGGTGATTAAACTGTCAGTTTACTGCTTTAGGGACCCAGGATTAAGTCTGAGCAAGCAGCCAGAGATAGTGATAGTGATAGATAGTGAGAATGTACTAAATTTGAGAGGCTTTATCCCTCACCACCCAGCTACTTTCATTTGTAAGCTTGACTAAACCCATGATGAACACAGGGAAAAAATGTCCTCTTGGTACTCACAGAATGGAAAAAGTAAAAAAAAAAATAAATAAATAAAAACTGATGGGACATCTGACATTGGCTGCTGATTGAATTTTCATACTGCTTTTTATATTTAAAATGTTATTCTTAATTATCTATTACATGGAAAAACAAGAAGCATCATTAAAAGATGTATCATCATGGAGTTATGAATTCAACATATTATATAAAAAGTATTGTCTTGTTTGATATTTACACATAGACCATTAAGTTCTCTTATGTGCGCTATTTCACAAGCCATACTAATAAATATTGTTATTCGTAATTTACAGTTACGTTCACGTTACAGTTATTTTCAAGACATTACCAAATAAAATATACATTAACACACAATAATATTTTAAGAAAACAGAATGTATATAATGTATATTTACATTAAAAATATACATATTAGACTACAAAGCAGTTTTCAAAGCAATGTTGTAAATATTAAATGCAATTGTTTTTGCAATAAATATCACAATATAACTTTCATTGAAAATAATGTTTCTGTATTAAAAATATGTAAAAAAAAATAACATTATAACTGTGTAAAAAGTAAAAATTTGATTAGTCAACTTTTTGTTATGAATCATAATGTTGTAACATTAAGTTTTATTTTTGTCATCACAATCCACATTCATACTAATTCAAATGATGAATATCTTCTTAATTTTACAAGATAAAACAAATAGTTAAATTGGCTTGTAAAATTCCATTTGTACCATTTCAAATTTAACAAAACTTCCTTTAGATAGATACTACTAAAATTTTGTTTGAAAGCAATTTTATCTTTGTTTCTGATTTGATCAATTTTTCTTTTATCTTTTTGGAACAATTTCAAATTCCAAAAAGAATGCCTTACATAAAAAAAATAAATGTTTATGACAATTTCATATTAGAGGAAAAAACTTCTTAATTTATGACAGATCTAAGTGATCAGTTCAGTTTACATCTTAACAACATTAAAAAGTCTAAGAACTTCTTTTCTAAATGATTAAACTATATAAACAGAACTGACCACTCACGACTTGTCACTGAAAATACATTCATTCCAACAATTAATACAAAATCAACACAATTCTTGATTTATTTTAGCAATATATATCGCAGGTAAATTCAACTTTGTATAATATTAAAAAAATAGTCAGAAATTTTAAACCAAAGAATGTGCCAAATTATCAGGCCATTAATGGGGTGAGACAATAAATCTAGACTGAGTTTAAAGCATCATAAATTTGAACTCAAAAAGATCATTTTAAAATCTCCATGCCAAAAATTATACCATTATATATTCTTAGTTACAGCATGTGAATTTTCCAATATTTTTGCATCAGTTAAGAAAAATTATTTTAAAAGAGGGTATATTAAGAGAGTACATTGCTCAAATGTATGAAGGTAAAGTGAACCACTCAAAAAATTGATGGTAGAGTATTTTTTAGCCAAAGGCCATAGCAAATTTAATTGTATATAATATTTTTAAGTAAGAAATATATGGAATGTGAAAAAAAGGCCAGGAAATGAGAGAAAGCTGATTGTTAGGAATGCTAAAAACTGAAGAGCATTGCTACAAATTGACAACCATAATTCACTTAGCCAGATAGAGGAGCTAAAAATTCAACTGTCATTGAACATACATAGGTAAGAAGATGGACATGAAAAAAAGCAGAAAAAGAGGATCCCAAAGTACACTGCTAAAAAAATTGCTGAAATCTGAACACAATACAGATGACTCATAATAGATTTTGGAAACAACAGTTCATTTTGGATAACAAAAAGTACTTTTCTCTCTCTGGCATGAAAATGCCAGGATATGAAATTTATTATGTGAACAAGAAAATCAAGCACCTTCTGAAGTGAAGTACAAATCTAAGAAGAAATTTGAAGCAAAAATCATACTGTTCAGTTCACCAAAATGTGTTTCAAAGTCATTTTTTAAGAAGGAATCCCTCGCAATTGATGCTGACATATACCAAAACAAATGTCTAAAGAAAATTCTAATAGGTTACCTATTCTTAACAAGTGTCATCAAAATGATGATTTCATCTTTTGGCCTGAGAAAGCTTCATCTCACTATGCAAATTCAACTGTAAAGTTCCTCAAAGCCAAAACTTTCCTCTTGTACCTAAAGAACATAATCTGTCAAATCTGCCACAATACCAGTCAACTGAAATTTCTTTAGATATTTAGCACAAATAGTATACAAGAAAGGTTGATGAACAGAAAATAACAGAAATGATCCAAAGAATCAGCCTTTCACTTTAAAAAATTGACATGAAAACTATCCAAAAAGCTGCAAGTCTATAAAAACAAATTTATGATGCATCACCATGGGCCATATGTTAATTAATTCTACACTATTGTAAATAAAATGTCTTTTAAAATTATATATAATATTTAATAGTTACTTCAATTTTTGATTAAGTATTGTGATTTAAAAACAGTCCAGAATTTTTCTCACATCCCATTATATGGCTAAGTTAATTATTAGAAACTAATTAATTTGTCTAGAAATAGGCAGATTAATTAGTTTCTAATAATTAACTTAACCATATAATAATCCAATAATTTGGCAGATTGTTTGGTTTAAATTAACTATAAATTAGATTTAGAAATGATGGTTATATATATAAACACACACAAGTCAGAAATTTTGAAATAAAATTAAATGTTTTTGGAATAAATTAGTTTCAACTTCAGTTTAAAACAAAACAAATGATAAACAGGAATGAAGAAAAAAATTAAATAATTGAACTTATTATCAGGAATATGCTCTGATTTGAATTAAATTATAATAGAAGAAGTGACTAAACCCATGATGAACACAGGGAAAAAATGTCCTCTTGGTACTCACAGAATGGAAAAAGTAAAAAAAAAATAAATAAATAAAAACTGATGGGACATCTGACATTGGCTGCTGATTGAATTTTCATACTGCTTTTTATATTTAAAATGTTATTCTTANGATTGTTTGGTTTAAATTAACTATAAATTAGATTTAGAAATGATGGTTATATATATAAACACACACAAGTCAGAAATTTTGAAATAAAATTAAATGTTTTTGGAATAAATTAGTTTCAACTTCAGTTTAAAACAAAACAAATGATAAACAGGAATGAAGAAAAAAATTAAATAATTGAACTTATTATCAGGAATATGCTCTGATTTGAATTAAATTATAATAGAAGAAGCAGTTATCTCCATAAGTTATCATCCACATAAAATTTAAGACTTTCTTTAAAAAACATTTTAATTCCATTCATTGTTAAATATTTTCACAATATCAAAAACAATAATTCTAAAATGGATAATTTTGAATCGTTGAGAATCTTACTGAGAGCTTTCAAAATATGTAATCCAGTATCTTAGTTGTGTATATCCATTGTAAGAATAAGATATCTATTTACAATATCAGTAAAAAAGAGAAATAAGTTTTAAAATGCAACAGTCTTAATAATAGTAAAATATGAAAAATATATATGTTACTGTGAATGACCGATATCTGGCAAGGGACTCTTGTGCAATTCTTATGCTACTTTCATCAACATTCTCCAGTGAATGTCAGCATTCACACAGTTGTTTCATGTATGTACGAAATATTTGCAAAATATCATTATTTCTCACTTACACTGGCAAACGTCGACATTCAGCATGCACTGATGGTGAATGTTAAATAAAAATATTTTTATTACGTTAAGACAAAAATGCAACTCTTCAATATGTCAAAATAGGAGAAAGCTTAAGTAAGAGCACATGTAAATAAACTGTTGAACCTAAAACGAACAGTACATTCTTAATCAGAAAAGAAAATAATACAATAATAAACTTACACATAAATTATGTGATTAATGTTATACAATCTTATTTATTGCAACAACTTAAACTGTTATGGCACTTTGAATTGCACAAGAGTCCCTTGCTTTTACAACTGCATTTATTCGTGGCAGCGTGTATAGCCTTGCCCTCCACTTTTTGAATTAGCTATAGCTGCTTCTCTCAGTGATATTTCTTGAGAAGAAATATCATTTATGGAAAGTAAAGTAACTTTTCTTTACAAATTATGAACTGATTACAGGCATAAAGCTGCTTGAAGATACTATTTTTGTTTGTTAATTTATAAAAGTCAAAGTCTTCTATTCCAACAACACCACCAACATATTTCGGGCATCTGTATGGCCACAGTCGACATCAGGGACTTATATTCATACGGTATCACCAATTTGAGCAAAAGGAAATGTTCTTTTTGAGGTTCACAACATTTTCGTTGCTCACAGTAGAAGATTCTCTTTCGCGGCCACTCTTTTTATAGAAATGTTGTTCAGTCACAGCATGATATAAAAATGTGGTGGGTTGAAGCTCCTCTTCAATATTTTCCTTTGGAATATGGTATTTGTTATGGCCACTGCTCAAATTTTATTCAAAGTATTAACAATTTCTTTGACATCCACCAAAGCTTATCTGTGCTTGTTGACATATACCGGAGATTGTTCGAATGTATAATAATATAACCAAATATTTGGTCTTTCACTGACATATTTTGTATGTGTCGACAGTCACCTGAGAATATCGACACTCTCTAATTTTGGTCTTTCACAGTAACATATATATTATTATATATATGAATATATTATATATATTCTTTATCTTTTAAATCTCAAGTAAAATTTTCTCTCTTTTACCTTTATACAAATGTATTGGACAGAATTCCGTATCATCTTTCTCATCTGCGGGTGTCAACGTTAATTCTAATTCTACTTTTTCATAAACATATAAAATTGGATGATATTCTGTTTCTTCATTTGATTCTGACTAAAAATTTTTTAATTTTAAAAAAAGATATATTAAACCCATCTAAACTATTAAAAGCAATTATTACATAGCAAAAGAAATTACAAAATAAACTAAAATACTTACCAAATTTTCTTTTTCTAAGTAGTTAATTACAATGCAATGATACAATGTACCATAAGATGTAGAAATTACTAATACTGGTGGCATTACTTGCAGACACATTAGTGAACAGTTATCAATACCATAATTATCAATAGCACTTGGATACATAGTTAACGGGCCTTTCACTTTACTCTGTGATCTAGAAATTCATAAATTGTTTCAAAATATTAAATTTAGAACTAACAGCAATTTATTTAGTTTACTATATTTTTCATATATTTTTTTATTATATATGCAAATGTTATGAGCACAATTTCTTTTGTGTGTCTTGTAAAAAATAAATTACAAATGCAATTCAGATGTTCAGATTTCAATGTTTTTTCAGTTTATGCTACTTTTAACTTCTTTAGTTAGTGTAAAATGGGTGAATAGCAACATCATCTTTGTCTAAATGACTATGTAACTCCAATAATGTTAATGTGACTTCATATGTTTTCTTTAAAAAAAAAATTGGCCTTTTCTCTTTAAGAACTTCAGTAGGTGTTATATGAACTTACAAAGTACAGTAGAGCATCGATTATCCGAAACAATTCAAGACTGGGGTTGTTTGGATAACTGACCATTTACGAAAAAATATATTAAACACAAAACAGTACTGTATGTATTTTGTATCACATGTCTTACAAATACATATCTTACATAAAATAGTACATTAAAGTAAGCCTATAATTTAGGTTGGCAGGGAGAGTGCTGCAGCACTACAGCACTAGCAGAAATTTGAATTTGCTGACTGGAACACTTTTGGTTAACCGATGTTTCAGTTGATTGGTATTTGGATAATCAATGCTCTACCGCAGGGCTTCTTAAACTTATATTTTTTACCACCCCATTTATGATTGTGATTTTTTTTGCAACCCAAAAAAATATAAAATAAAGATATATACAAATTTGTAAAAACAATAATGGTATAGTACCACAGTTCACTCTTGTGTTACAATGGAACAGAGACAACTGAATACACTGAAAAGTGCCAACACTACACTAGTTCACACTACAGTGTTGCTGAATTGTTATCTCACTGCACCAGAAGTGACAGAAAGCGGAACTCACAAAATCTATGACACAAAGCATGTCATTTTCAAACTCTCACAAATTATTTTCAATATTTTGCATTAAAATCTCACAACCCCAAGATTTCACTAAGTGACCCCAAATAGGGTTGCAACCCGTAGTTTAAGAAGCCCTGCTCTACTGTAATCAAATTCTTTGTTTTTTTTCGTTTTTTTTTATCAATGTTTCTTTTCATCTCTTAGAACAGTAACTTATACAACTATAAAATTGAAAGAAAATGCTTTTTCTTTGCAAAAATTGTTTATTAGTTACAAAAACCTTATATTATGCACATTAGAACTTACACAGGAAGAAAACAGAGTTGATCAGATAATCTTGAAAACTGATTACGTAGATAAAAATGAAAGCACTTTTAAAAAATACTTAAGTCAATGAAGTCGTCAGGAAAACACATCATGTTTTTGAAGCATACTGAACAGTTTGTAATGAGAACAAAGAATTTCCTACTAGCATCTTCATATATAAATTAAAATTCCTCAAACATTTTTAAAAATCTCATCATCTATGATTTCTCTGGTAGAAAGAGACCCACATATCAATATTCTTCAATTTGGCAGATTGTGGCAATATATGGAAGTGATCAAAAAATACAGTAAATAGTGGAATAAAAGAAAGTAACGAAACACAAAACTTGCAATTAATTCCCTCAAAGCAGTCTCCTTTGCTTGAAATACACTTATTCTACTTCTCAAAACACTCTTGGAAGTCTTTCTTCATTAATGCCTTTAATTGGGCTGATCTGGCTGCTTCAATTACAGAAACTGGGTGAAAACAATTTCCCTTCATTGTCCATTTAACTTTAGGGAAGAGCCAGAAGTCACTTGGCACTAAGTCTGGCAAATATTATGCATGAATGGGTCACATGATAATGTTTTTATTAGACAAAAATTGCCACATGATGAGTGATGTGTAGCAGGGAACATTGTTATGATGTATGATGGAAAATGAAACCTTTTGCTCATTTTTGCATATTTTTTGAGCATATCATTTCTCAAATGTTCTATTACCCCTGTATAGCATTCATAGTTCACTGTTGTTTCTTTAGTACAAACTCTGTTCAAGCAATTCCTTCCAGATAAAAAAATAATAATAATAATAATAATGAATATCACCTTAATGTTGAACCTCAACTTGAGAAAAGGGCGATTTCCAATAAGTTTTGTTTCTATTCACTCCATTTATAGTAAGTACAGAATCAGCAGAATAACTCAACTGCATTACAGTTGTTTCAGGGTGAATCAAATATAAATGAGATTTTTGTTCCTGAGCAACTAAGGTTGGCAGTACAGGGCCTGTGTGTCTAGTCTGATTGGGTAGGATAATTAGGAGTGGGGAATGCCGGCCGTTTCATACTTTCAACCAATTCGTCAGTACTGCTCACGATGTCGAAGCAACAGGTACACCCCTCTGTTGTGCAATGCATAATCAAACAATTTCTTGCTCGTGAAGGAGTCAATGCAACAGAAATTTTTTGCAGATTGACTGCACAGTTTGGGGATCAAACACTGTGAAGGACTTGTGTTTGCCTGGCATAAAAAGTTCAAGGAAGGACGGACATGCATGGAAAATCAGAAACACGAACGTCGTCCTTGGACCAGCATCACAAGTGAAAAATTCGCACAGTTCGAGACACTATTGAAGAGGAGAGACGAATTGGAGTTTACGAAATTGCAGAAAAGGTCAAAATAAGTTATGGAAGCTGTCAAGCGATCGAGATGTCATTCTCCTCCATGACAACACCAGGCCTCATACTGCAGCTCTAACAATCTCAAAACTTAATGAAATGCACTGGACTGCACTTGATCATCCTCCATACAGCCCGGACCTATTGCATTGTGATTTTCATTTGTTTGGGCCACTTAAAGAAGCTATAGAAGGGCAGCGATTTGAAGATGATGCAAGAGTGGAAGAATTCGTGCGCAATTGGCTCCTGACACAACCAACTTCATCCTACGATACTGAAATAAGAAACCTTCTTTCTCGCTGGGAAAAATGTATTTCTATAGCAGAAAGCTATGTAGAAAAATAAATCATAATGTTTTTTATTTTTTAATAAATAATTTTAAAACATAAAATAAATCCCGTTTATATTGGATCCACACTCGTATATGTATCCACCCCAATAATTTTTTCATATATTGCATTTCTTTCAAATGATCTTTGCAAATCAATTGTTCATAATTAGTACATTTTTATTCTAGTGTAATTACATGACAAAATAAATCAGATACTAGTTTTACTTCTATTGCAATATATATAAGACCTTTTGAAAGAAATATGAACAAAATTTCATAAAACATATGACTTTACACAAGCAAAGAAGGAATCAAATTAGTTTTATTTTTGCATTGTTAAATATCAGTAAAATAAAAAATCTAAATTTTATAATTAGCGAACATCTAGTGCAGCAGTTCCCAACCTTTTTTGATTTGCATACCCCTTGACGGCTTATTTTTCTATATTTTATTTTCCACTTCCCATTTTCACTATGCTTTCTTTTGTGTGTTCTTGAAACAGTGGCTCAGTGATGAATTATACAAAGTTGTACAATTATATGTAAAAAAGTTTTTTTTTTAAATCAAAAAGCATTGGAGGAAGGACATAGATAAATATTATAAAAATATAATTATATTTTTATTTAAAACTAAGCATCAAGTGCTATGATGTTGGCAAAGGCCTCAATGCAGAATCTGACTATTCTTATTGCACATCTACCATTATTTATTTTTTCGCATACCCCTAAACCACTAAACACATATCCCTGGTCAGGAATTGCTGATCTAGTGTATTCTTATTAATAAGAAACATCATCCAAATATTCCTCCATGATTTTCATAATTTTTATACAGTATATTGATATATTTGCTGTAGAACTGTGATGGCAAATCCATTATTTGAACAACAATTTTAGGGTATTTGATTTGAAAATTTAGAAAGTATAATTTCAAATTCAATTATGTCCCAGTTTCAAAAAGATTTGCCACTGCTGCTGTAAAACATGCATTTTTTTTATGGGAAGATAAATATTTTTTGTGGAATAAATAACTCTTCATAGCTTCGCATGTCAAGCAATGATTTTACAGTTTTATATAGGTGTGTGTGTGTGTGTGTGTGTGTATTTTGCAGAACAGACCAAAATTAAGTTTTCATGTTTTTGATTGAACAACACTACATGTCATATAACCAGTTGAAGCAATGCTTTTACAATATTCCATTTTTGGTGATTATCATTATTGTCTGTATGTGACCCATAAATTTGATCATAATATATTATATTTACTGTAAATACATAAACAAATGTAAGTTCCTCCACTAAACAAAAGTAAAGCTCATGAAACCTTGCAAAAATCCAAAATGCATAAAGCAAAAAAACAGAATTAATTTAAATAGAAAAAATTTTTAGTAGTCTCAGAACTAAAATTAACCTATTAAATCATAGCAAATGTGCTAAATATACAATACACATAAATTAAGATAAAGCCAAATGCTCATTGACAAAGTTTAAAGCTTTGGAAGCTAAATGCTGAGTGTAGTTCCTGGAGAAAGAGCTTGGAGATGCCTCTCATTGTTTGGGATGCACAGTACAGTTACTTGCTGCAAAACAAACACTAAATGTTATTTTTTGCTTTTTGCCTTTTTTCTTAAGAGTAGAAATCTTTTTTGGATTTCTTTCAGTAAATGAAAACAGGTATTAACATAGATCTCTTGCAAGGGGTAAACACTTATATTGATAACTTTTATGCTTTTTTATTTTATGATATTGTAATAAAATTTTAGTGTATTTCTTAAAAAATATTGCTTTAACAAAACTTTTCTATCACAAGAAAATTATTCTTTACTTTTAGAACAATTTCAAATTGATAATTAATATGCATTATATGCACTATCTTTGATAGGACTGATTTTATGCTAAATTTTCATTAACTGTACACACAACATACTTTATAAGTGTAAAATTATAAAATTTATTAACAACTGGTAAATTGAAAAATTTTGAATTATTATACTCAAAACCAATGTGGGTTTTGAAATTTTGAATGACAGTATACTTTATTCTTAAGAAAAGTGTCTTATATGAAAAAATAGTTTATCCACTTAACAAAGATTATATATATATATACACACACACACACACACACACATACTGTAGCGTGCATTAATCATTGATCTTTATTGACATTTTTGATTGTTAAAAAATTGAATATTTCTAAAAAGTATCACTTCAATATTGTGGCATGCCATATAATATCATGGGGGGTTTTTATATCCTTAAAAAGAATTTTTGACAAATAAATGTAAACTTAATTTTAATTTGTTCTACTGGGTGGAACAGAAAGGATGGACGTTTTTTAAAAAAATCACATCATCTGTAATTGTTACTACAAAAGATATTAGTTGGAAGATGTGAGTTCATATTGAAATAGCATTTTACAGAATCAAGTGTGGAAAACAACATCTCCTATGTGGTGTCTGTTATCAGTGATGCATTTCTGGAGTTTGACTTCCACGCAAATAACTTCCTTCAGTTCTTGCAAAGAATGGGCTTATGCTCATATACAGTGGGTGATCAATTAACAAACATAATCTGTTCCAAAACTTTGTTCGCTATCCAAATTGTTCGTTATGATTTACCATAGGTTTTTATGGGAATTTGATTAATTCGTTCTGGAGACCCCAAAGAATAAAAAATATTAATAAATGTAGTAATAAAGTATATATGTAATAATAAAAATACATATATACACAATTTTGCATTTTTATTAGTTATGTTTTTTCTGTCTGTGGGAGATGAAGAATCTGTCTAATGTTGATTTGTTTTCTCTTTTCAGGATATTTTGGAAGTAATTAATAGCATTATAATTGTAGAGATCCATAAGCCTATTAACCTTATTCTGGTTTGGATGCCATTCTAAGACTGTTGTTCTGACGTCCTCACACTTCTTCAAAAGATCTTTAATAGCAGATATCAGCATTAATCCTCTTTTTCAGAAGAAAACATCTTGCTGAGTTTCTTGGTATTATTCATTCAAGAGTTCTTGGCGTTCTTCTGTTGTCAGATCCATTTCAGGTTCTATTATGAGCTCTTCAATGTTCTTTATTTCTCAGATGTGATTTTTGTTACTCCTTTAACTGCTTGAGTCTTCTCAATTATACTGTATCTTTCTTAGATAAGATTGAACTGCTGTCTACTGTAGACCTGTTCAAGCCATACTGCCAAGCAACGTCAGACATCTTCTGACCACTCTCTACCTTTGCTATTATACTCTCATCTTTCGTAAATAAAAACAGACGCAAAACTTACAAGTGCCCACCTGACAGTTTCGCGAATACTATAAAAGAATTGTTTCTGTCAGAAAAATAAAAGGCTGAAATTACAAGGAAGAGTTTCAAAGTTCGGAGGAATAATAACCAATCAGTATATACCGGTTTAAGCGTAGATGTCAACGTCTCCTGCGCTCCAAATTGTTGCCTGAAGAAAGAGAAGACCAATCGGTATTCATTATTTTACGTTGTTTCTTCTTGTGTTTGTCCTGTGAGGTGTTTGTTGTCTAAATATAAAAATATTTTGTGAAAGTGTTCATTAACTGATCACCCATTGTACAAGTGCCTTGAGATGTCCCCACAAGAAATAATTGCACATGGATAGGTCGGGCAAATGAGGAGTCACTGAACCTGGAAATGAGCAATATTTGGCTGTCTTGGGCTACTCCGATATTATTTTTGTTAATGTGCATGTTGAAAGTTTTGAAATACTAGATAACCATCCATGATGAATTAGTGTTTATTATTTTTAATAATAAACTTCATAAGACACATTATGCATAAACAAATTTCATCAATCTCCCTTAATTAACCTGTCCTACGTTGATCCTGAAAATATTCGTGTTGACCTCATTGACTTGTGTGGGTGATCCCGAATATTTCTGTGTTTACATCAGAATGTTTTTGATACTAGATGGTACTTCGCGTCACAATTTTTATATTAAAACAAACTTTTAAAATAAATTTTTTTTTGTTTTTATATTATTCAATATATATATTTTGTTTGTGAAACATAAAAAAATAATTTTTTACGATACAGTAAATACAATTATTATTAAAAAAAAAAAAAAATTTAGGCTTAACATCGACAAAAATTCAACATGGCGTCACAGGCTACAAATAAAAATTTCAACATCGAATAGGTTAATCTAATTGAGACAGACCCACTTTCTAATAGTAACAATGAAACTTCTAGAGAAGCACTTTGTGCAAAGCTGTAGCTTTGCACAAAATGCAAAGCTATCACAAAAATTAGCTTTGCACAAAGTGCAAAGCTAATTTTTGTGATAGACTGAATAACAAAGACTGTTATAAACAATTGAAATTGGCTTTTGGGAATGACGTTCCAACCTTTACTATTGTGTTCAGATGGTACAAAAAATTTCAGAGGTGTCATACTTCCTTCCATGATGAACCACTTGAAGGGTGACCATGAATAGCAGTGACTCCTAAAAATGAAACTGCTGTCCAATGTATTATTGCAAAGACCAAAGATGTATCTATGAAATGATACAGGAGAGACTACAGATTAGAGCCTCTGCAGTTGCAGACATTCTGCACAAGAAGTTTTGGTTAAAAAAAGTAGTGTCTCAATGAGTTGACAGTTTTCCAAAAGTAAGTGTGTGTAAGAATCTCTAAGAAAACTCTGGAAATGTTAAACCAAAATGGACATCAGACTATTTCCAAGATTGTCACAGGTGATGATGAGACATACATATCATTTTATGATTGTCTCATATGTCAAGAAAGTCAGGTATGGATCCATAAAGATGATCCAATTCCAACAACTGTAAAAAGACAGAGAGCAATAAAAAAAAAAAAAAAAAAAAAAGGTCATGTTTGCTGTTTTTTTCAGTAAGCACTGGTCTGGCAAAAGCAATTAAGCTCGATGAACAGAAGACAGTAACATCTAATTGGTACACTACAGTTTGTCTTCCTAGTAGTCTGGCATCACTGAAAATTTGAGGTCAAATTTTGCATCATGATAATCATTCATCACACACTGCCAAGAAGACTGTTGATTTCCATTAAGCTAATAATATAAGAATCATTCAACATCTACCATATTCATCAGATTTGGCATTATGTGACACTTCTGACTATTTTTTAATTTCAAATAATATTTGAGGAGTTGCAAATTTAACACAGAGAATGAAATTAAAGTTTCCTTATCAGAGTATTTTGACAGCATTCCAGAAAATGGGTGGTGGTGTACTTTTGATCTTTGGAAGAAGCAACTACATAACTGCATTTTGGCCAGAAAAGAGTTCTTAGACCATAAATAAAAAATATTTTGTTTCAGGCCTTATAGCACTCCTGTATTGCAAAACATTCAGAGTCATCTCTGTATTTCTTCTGTTTAAAAAGTATTGAGAATAGAGATAAATTAAAAGAATTACTAATTTAATAATTTCAAAAACTTACCTTTTTTTTAAATTTGAATGAACAACATAGACATCACCATTTCCTTTCAAAATGAAAATAGGCCAAATGATGTCTAATTCATGATCCTTTATTTCAGAATTTCTTTCAGCTGTTGTAATTGGTGGACCAAAGTCAAAACTCACTGCTGTTTCACCAAGACAGGATGAAAATGATGTTCTTGAATTAGATGTTAAATAGAAACTTGGTTCAACACAACTTAAAGCTATCACTTGGAATGGGATTTGTGGATTAGTAACATCATATATCCTGAAAAAAATACATATATAATTTAATTGTCAAAGTTGATATTATGTATTAAAAATCATTTAAATCTTTACAGTTTTTGTAAATTTATGAAATTGTATGATTTATCATACAATTTCATAAATTTACAAAAACTGTAAAGATTTGAAAAATTAAACTTCTCAACAACACCGTGTTATAGCAAAAATAAACAACTACAAACCTTTACGGTGCGATATTGAATAAAATCAAGATAAAAAGTTCCCACAAACGTTTTCGAACCTAATTACGGTTCTTCATCAGGTGAAAAAATCATTCGATGGAATGCAAAGTTTGAAAGAGATTCGTTCATCGAAATCCAAGAATTCCGCATCTGTCGTCATCAATGGGCATGCGTATTCTGATGTAAGAGCTTTTATTTATAAAGCATGTTCTCTCCGTCATATATAAGCGACTGCCACGCTAGGGATAGAGACACTTCATCTTTACAGTTAATACACTTGTTGTCATGGGCCATTTTATATATATAAATCGCTTTGATCCATCTTAGATGCTCGGTATGAGGTGTGGTGTAGATGATCCTAGCTTCGCTAAATCTTGGATCGATGTCCGGATCCGTAGCATAACGAGCCAGTGCAGTAGATAATCTTTCGTGCTGTATGTCAGCCCTGTGTTCCTTTATTCTGACACCTAACGAGCGCTTAGTGGAGCCAATGTATAATAATTCTTCGTTACAGCGATGATCACTCAAAGGGATGACATATACCCCCGATAGCATGTGATGGCCCCAACAATCACATAAGGATGGCCCCAACAATCACATGCTATCGGGGGTATATGTCATCCCTTTGAGTGATCATCGCTGTAACGAAGAATTATTATACATTGGCTCCACTAAGCGCTCGTTAGGTGTCAGAATAAAGGAACACAGGGCTGACATACAGCATGAAAGATTATCTACTGCACTGGCTCGTTATGCTACGGATCCGGACATCGATCCAAGATTTAGCGAAGCTAGGATCATCTACACCACACCTCATACCGAGCATCTAAGATGGATCAAAGCGATTTATATATATAAAATGGCCCATGACAACAAGTGTATTAACTGTAAAGATGAAGTGTCTCTATCCCTAGCGTGGCAGTCGCTTATATATGACGGAGAGAACATGCTTTATAAATAAAAGCTCTTACATCAGAATACGCATGCCCATTGATGACGACAGATGCGGAATTCTTGGATTTCGATGAACGAATCTCTTTCAAACTTTGCATTCCATCGAATGATTTTTTCACCTGATGAAGAACCGTAATTAGGTTCGAAAACGTTTGTGGGAACTTTTTATCTTGATTTTATTCAATATCGCACCGTAAAGGTTTGTAATTGTTTAGATTTGAAAAATTTTTGTACCTAAATAATGCTTCAATTTTTACTTAAATATTGTACAAATATACAAATTGTTTTATTTTTATTGAAAACAATTAAAGTTAATTAATAGTTCTATTTCGTAATAAACTGCCTGTTAGCAGTTAGCCTGATGATGCCTGTTCAACACAAATGAAAATGTTTGCTTTCTTGTAGTATCTTCTTGCTAGATATTGGTTATATGTGCAATAAGATAAATTAGCACTAAGAACACTGACAGTGTTCTCAATGCTAATTTATCTCAAACATTTCAGGGCATGGTAAAAAAAGTTCTTCATTTTACATCATGAAAACTGCAAGAAGAAATTTCTTTGCAATTATATGTGCAGTATTTACTTGAAAAATTATATATTCCATATTTCTATGCAGCTAGCATAGAATATATTTTGCATATATTTACTAATTTGTTTGGAAACAGTAAATAACTTCTCAGAGTGATTAAAAAAATAAAAGGAATGACTGGTTAAATATTTCTAATTTACATTACCGACACAGAGTATTAAAACTATGAAATACTGTAAAAAAGATACAAATCCAATATAGAGAATAAATTAATTACACATTAATGTATCATATTTTGTTACTTTGAAATAAAAAACCATACAGGTATGTCTATTTAAATACTACACAATGACACTATGAGAGTGCCACTCTCAATCACAACTTTCTATTTTCTCTTCAGACAGATGTTGTCAACATGTACAGTAGCAAAATATATTCATCAGGTATCAAAACTAGAAATCTTGTGGCAGTAGCTGTTTTGTATGAATGTTCGACTGACATTCATATAAAAAATGGGAGAGTTCTGATGAAAAGCTCCCTTTCAGGAGATTTATGCGAAGTTGTAGTTAGGTTACTGGAACAGCACACAATCAATTTTTCCTTTGAAACATCCATTTATACACAAGATACATTGACCATATTTTAATAATTTGGAAATCAAAACCCAACATCAAAGATTTTTTGCAAACTATTAATAACAATAACTATGGTTTGAAACTAGTACTAGAAAATCAAACAAAACTGAAGTGCACTATTTAGACCTAGAAATAGATATCGTCAAGAACAAAATAATCACAAAAGTCAAACCATAAGATCACAAACCAAATGCACCTTCCTTTTTCATATCTGCTGCCTCTAATGATCCAGAGTTTTAAAATAGCAGCATTTAGAACACTTGTTCAAAGAGTTTACACACATTATTCTAGAAAAGAGGTTACATGGCTAGAGATTGAATCTATTAAAAAGCTAGCAAAACATGGCTACAGTTTTAAACAAATTACTGAATTGTCCAGAATTTTAAACAACAAGTTGGGTAAGGAAACAGAACAACAAAAACATGACTGCAAATATGTAACAGTTGGATCTGACTCCAGGTTACACAAAGTTTATTCTAGCAAAGCAAATGATATACAAATAGATAAAGCATTTAAAAGAAATCCAACAATATTCAGGTTATTAACAAATAGAAAGATCAAATAAACAACAAAAGAGTCCCTGGAGTGTACACCATATCTCTAGAACAGGGCTTCTTAAACTATGGGTTGTGACCCCATTTAGGGTTGCTTAGCGAAATCTTGGGGTCATGAGATTTTAATGCAAAATATTGAAAATAATTTGTGAGAGTTTGAAAATGGTATTTTTGTGTCATAGGTTTTGTGAGTTGATTTTTGTGTCATTTCTGGTGCAGCAAGACAATGATTCAGCAACACTGATTGTAGTGTGAACTAGTGTAGTGTTGTCGCTTTTCAGTTGTCTCTGTTCCATTGTAACACAAGAGTGAACTGTGGTAGTACACCATTATTGTTTTTGCAGATTTGTATATATCTTTACTTTATATTTTTTTGGGTCGCGAAAAAAATCACAATCATGAGTGGGGTCATGAATAAAAAAAGTTTAAGAAGCCCTGCTCTAGAAGATTATAGATTCAGCAGATACCTAAGCTATATAGGCTCAACTAACAGATTAATTGAGGCCAGAATAAAAGAACATAAATATGACATCCGTAAAGAAAACTAACACTGCTTTAACCCAATATGCAAATGAGCCCGGGATGTTCCCCATGTTTGGAAGATGCAAAATTATTAAGAAAAATATTTGATATGCAAGAATTAAGAATAAGTGAAACCATTGACATCTATAAAACAGCAAGCCAAGGACTTTGCATTAACAATAGAGAAAGCCTCAGCATATCGCAAGCTTGGCAAGTGTTTTTATCTAAATGTACTTAAATCAATTAATAAATTTTTTTATTAATTGTCTCCATGTGCTTAATATTTATTATTGGTTCTTAAATATTGGGTTGCTCAGAAATTAATTTCATTTTTTTACCATCAGAAAAATTAATATTCTTATCTGCCAATTTCATTTTAAACCATATTGTCATTAAAAAAAAAATCAAAAAAACATAACACCATAATTTGCTGAGAAAATTTAATGAAAAAGCAAACATTTTCAGCTAAACCTGTTGGCCATCATCAGGCTGAGATATTTGAATATAAATAAAATAGAACATAAATTTAAATACAAATAAAAATAATGAATGACTTACATACATACATATATATATGCATTAAGAAAAATAAAAAAAAAATAAAAATTATTCTTATAATTAAAAATATATGCATAGGATAATTAAATATTACAACATTATATAATAATACACTATATGAAATTCAATAAAATGCAAGAACATGCAAAAATACTAAAATCAAGGCATTAACAGCTTTCTAATCGTTTGATTAAGTATTTCCAGGCCAAAGACAACCCTTCTGAATCTCTAGAATTAATGCACGCATCATGTAATCTGCTCTTATATACAGTAATACCTCGACTTACGTGAACCCGGAGTTACGCGATTTTCAAATCTCGTCGATTCATCTTTTGTTTGAGCGCCATGCAACTCTTGATCACTCACTTCTCCCACACTATTGTTCAGCTTACACGTTCGAACGTGTAGTGTGGAATCGACACATAACTACAATTTATTTGTGTTATTTATTTCTGTGTTTGTTATATCTACGGGGACTCGAGAGACTCTATGTAGTGATTTCTTGTAACTGTGAACAAATCAAAAGACGAGATAAGATTAACGAGAACATTTATTAGCTTACATACATCCAACTTAGATTTTACGCAAATTGCGAAATTATATCCCGACTTATGTGAATTTGACTTACGTGGTTATCGCTCGGTCCCACCTATAGCGTAAGTTCGGGGTATTACTGTATTTCAATTTTTTTTTATTTACTTATGCTGAGTGAGGGTACCTCAATCATATTGTCATTATATATTTTGACAGCTGACATTTCAAGGTTTATTTGTAAAAAATTTGTTTGCTTCTGTGCAATTGTTTTTTTTTGTCCCCCCATCAAATATGGAAAATCGAAAGAAGTATTTTCAGCATATTTTGCTTTTTTATTACCAAGAAAATAAAAATGCTGTTCAAGCAAGAAAAAAATTGTGTGACATGTATGGAGATGTGTTGACATAATGACAGTGACAAAACTGGTTCATAAAATTTCATTCTGGCAATTTCGATACTGAAGATGCACATTTGAAAAGATCAGCTGATGCTGATGAAGACAAAATAAAGGTA